TAAGTTACCATGTAAGACCTCATTCGGGGCTTTTTGAGACCAACGGAGAGGTCCGAGCCTCCTGAGCTCCCGCTTTGCCTATAATCTTTATAAACTTATAAAACTATATCTTTGTCTCAGTGTATTCTTTTATTTCTTCCATTTTCCATTTCTCTCTATTATTTTCTTATCCCTTGCAACTCTACCAAAGGGACCCAGTTTTTTGCAGGGAACACTGGCCACGTTCCCTGCAAGCAATGACCTCACTGAGGAGGTGACGATAAATTGAGTCCTGAAAGGTGTATTCATCCAGCAGATGGAAGGTGAAGAAGGAGCAGGGACAAAAACACAAAGGCATAAAACAACATGGAAGGTTGAGCAAACAGTCGGCAAGGCCAGGCCTAGGTTTATCTCACAGTTGGACAATGGGGAACCATAAAAAATTTTTTTAAAATAAATTGGTTTTTAAAAGATGTGCATGAAATAGCCATAGCAGCAGTGTTGATATACCAAAGGTTGGAAAAAACCCACGTGTCCATCAAACACTTGGTAGATAAATGAAATGTGGTCTATCCATACAGTGGAATAGTACTCAGTCATAAAAAGGAAGGAATTCTGATACTTGCCACAATATGGATGAACCTTGAAAACATTACACTAAGTGAAAAAAACCAGACACAAAATGCCATGTATTGTATGTGTCCATTTATATGAAACACCCAGAATAGGCAAATTGATAGGGACAAAAAGCAGATTAGTGATTGCTGGTGGGGGGAGGGGAGGGCATGGGGAGTGACTGCTTTATGTGTAATGAGCTTCCCTTTGGGGCGATGAACATAATCTGGAACTAAACAGTGGTAATGGTGGTGAGAGTTGTACAACACTGTGAACACAATAAATGGCACTGAATTGTACACTTCAAAATGGTAAATTTTTTTATGTATATTTTACCAAAAAAAAAAACACAAATTTTAAAATAAAATAAATTAGTTTTGAATTATAAAAACAAAAAGATTAACAATACAAAAATGAAAATTCCCCTCCATACCCCAATACTCCACTCCCACTTTATAAAAGTAAATATTATTTAAATTTTTATTTTAATATCTCCTTCCAGAAATGTGTTTCATATATGAGTATATAAGGGTGTGGTACATGGCGGGTGGTGTATGATCTTATGATATACTTTTTCTTTCCATTTAAGCTGTTGGGAAACCTCGGGACTTTAAAATTCCTTTACCGGGGGCGCGCTCCTGCGGCCTCCCAGCCGCGGGTGCTGAGGGCGAGAGCCCGGGGGGGCGGCGCCCCCTTCCCGGGCAGCAGCGGCTCCCCCGCCCTGCTGCAGGGCAAGGTGCTGGACCTGGACGAGGACGAGGACGACCTGGAGGTGTTCAGTAAGGATGCCTCATTGATGGACATGAACTCCTTCAGCCCTATGATGCCAACATCCCCTTTATCAATGATAAACCAGATCAAGTTTGAAGATGAGCCAGATTTAAAGGATCTCTTCATCACAGTTGATGAACCTGAAAGCCATGTTACTATCATTGAAACTTTCATCACTTATAGGATTATTACTAAGACATCTCGTGGGGAATTTGATTCCAGTGAATTTGAAGTTAGGAGACATTATCAAGATTTCCTTTGGTTGAAGGGAAAGCTTGAAGAAGCACACCCCACTCTGATTATTCCACCATTGCCAGAAAAGTTTATAGTAAAAGGAATGGTAGAACGCTTTAATGATGACTTCATTGAGACACGCAGGAAGGCATTACAAAAATTTTTGAACCGAATTGCTGATCATCCAACTTTAACATTTAATGAAGACTTCAAAGTTTTTCTCACTGCACAAGCTTGGGAACTCTCGTCTCACAAGAAGCAAGGACCTGGTTTGCTAAGCAGGATGGGGCAAACGGTCAGAGCTGTTGCTTCCTCAATGAGAGGAGTTAAAAACCGCCCAGAGGAGTTCATGGAAATGAGTAACTTTATTGAAATATTTAGCCAGAAAATAAATTTGATAGATAAAATATCTCAGAGAATTTACAAGGAAGAAAGAGAATATCTTGATGAAATGAAAGAATATGGCCCAATTTATATTTTGTGGTCAGCATCAGAAGAAGATCTGGTTGATACTCTAAATGATGTTGCCAGCTGCATTGACAAATGCTATAAAGCTACTGAAAAACGGATGTCCGGACTCTCAGAGGCCCTGCTTCCTGTCGTACATGAGTATGTGCTTTATAGTGAAATGTTAATGGGTGTTATGAAAAGAAGAGACCAAATACAAGCAGAACTGGATTCCAAAGTTGAAGCTTTGACCTATAAAAAGGCAGATATTGATCTACTTACAGAAGAGATTGGAAAACTTGAAGATAAAGTGGAATGTGCTAATAATGCCCTGAAAGCAGATTGGGAAAGATGGAAACAAAATATGCAAAATGATATCAAGTCAGCATTTGCAGATATGGCTGAGGAGAATATCCACTATTATGAACAGTGCCTTGCTACGTGGGAATCATTCCTTACATCACAGACGGACCTCCACTTGGAAGAAGCCTCTGAAGATAAACCTTAATCCTGCCAAGGACTTCTGTTTGATCTTTGGGGAACAGCATCTATCAACCAAAGTTATTCTTTCTGGATCTGCCGTGTCCTTTATAAAGTGGATGAGAAGTGTTTTTTACTGTCTGGAAAACCAACAACTTGAAAACTCAGGTATTCCAGGTCATCGATATGAATTTGGAGATATCTATCTATCTACCTGATAGATATACACCTATATATCGATACACAGGTATATAGAGAGATTTAGCTTAGTTATAAGTATGTTCCTAAATTTGTGTGCCAATAATTGCATATAGAATTTTTTAAAAATATATGACTGTGGAATATGACAGTGTTGTAAAGACTCAGTTTTAATAAAAGGTTTAATATG